TCTACATGGGTTCACTTCCGTGTCGACCGGACTACACACCAATGTCCGATCACATGAGTATTCTTCAAGAGATTACCGGAGAAAGGTGTGATTTAATTGAGTCATTCTCTAGTCATGATTAGTTATAATACATTCAAATATTGCTATGAAGATTATAACAAGTGATCGTCATATACTCTAGTTCGATCGAAGGTCGTTTGGTGAGAAGTTACACGAGGAGTTTCAACGGTTTCGCAGCCCGACTCACCGAGTCAGAACGAGAACGTGTAGCCGGTGAGTGATCTTCGATCCAGACGCATTTTATGTGAAATGGTTTTATAAAGGTCAACTAACTGAAACCATTTTATGTTCTTTTAGAAATGGAAGGAGTTGTGTCTGTGTTCCCGAACAAGATCTTAAAAGTCCAAACGACTGCTTCTTGGGATTTCATGGGATTAAAGGAAGGAAAGAATACAAAACGAAACTTGGCCATAGAGAGTAATAATATTATCGGAGTCATCGACACTGGAATTTGGCCTGAATCCGAGAGCTTCTCCGGCAAAGGCTTTGGTCCTCCTCCTAAGAAATGGAAAGGTGTTTGCTCCGGCGGTCAAAACTTCATATGCAACAAGTAATCTATCACTCTTAGAGTAATTTCTCGTTTTAAAGATTAGTATTGTTTTAGGCAGAGTTTAATGTGTTAACAATGTTTCAGCAAGTTGATCGGAGCGAGAGATTACACAAGCGAAGGCACTAGGGACCGCGATGGTCACGGTACACACACAGCGTCCACATCCATTGGAAACGCAGTCCCGAACACAAGCTTCTTTGGAATCGGCAATGGAACGGCAAGAGGAGGCGTTCCGGCCTCTAGAATTGCAGCTTACAAAGTCTGCACAGCGATGGGGTGTAGCTCGGAAGCTGTACTGTCTGCGTTTGATGACGCGATTGCGGACGGTGTCGACCTCATCAGCATCTCTGTTGGGGGAGAACACGCCTCGTTATACGATGTGGACACGATTGCTATTGGGGCTTTTCACGCTATGGCCAAAGGGATTCTCACTATGCACTCAGCTGGTAACTCTGGTCCGAATCCAACCTCAGTCGTGAGCGTAGCACCGTGGATCTTAACCGTTGCAGCCAGCACCACAAACCGTGCGTTTGTCACCAAAGTTGTTCTCGGAAACGGCAAGACACTTATCGTAAGTATCAAGAAACGTTCTTATTTCTATCATCATAATATATACTCTTTGTCTCTTTAGTCACCATTGACTCTTCTGTTATTTTTCCTTAACAGGGGAAGTCAGTGAATGCTTTCGATCTGAAAGGAAAGAAGTACCCTCTGGTGTACGCAAAATCTTATAGAGAATGTCAAGATAAATCTCTTGTGAAGGGAAAGATCGTGGCGTGCATATATTCAACTAGTCCAAAAGGTGCTATTGCATCCATAGTTAGAGACACCACAGACTATGCCGGCGTAAGCAGTGTGGACCTCTCTGCTCTATCACCAAATGACTTTGACTCTCTCGTCTCTTACATTAACTCCACAAAGTAACAAACGATCTTCTCTCTGTTTCTTACATTTGCTCTAGATTCTCTTTCTTTGTCCTCATATCTCTGTGTTTGTTTTCTCAGGTCTCCACAAGGCACTGTTCTAAAAACTGAGGCAATCTTTAATCAGAAAGCTCCTAAAGTTGCTTCCTTCTCATCTCGCGGTCCAAACAACGTTGCTGTTGATCTTCTAAAGGTACAGAACATTTTTATGATCTTGATTCATGTTTTTATCCCCTGGTCTGAGAGACAATGGTGGATGGATTGTAGCCAGATATAACAGCACCAGGAGTGGAGATTCTTGCTGCATTTTCACCTTTGGCTTCACCGTCTATAGACTCGAACGACAGAAGACGTGTGAAGTATTCTGTTATCTCTGGAACTTCGATGTCTTGTCCACACGTTGCAGGCGTGGCCGCCTACATCAAGACTTTTCATCCTGATTGGTCTCCTTCCGTGATCCAATCTGCCATCATGACAACCGGTAAGACTTTCTTTCCCCACTAGTAACCTCTGTTGACAATGATATTCTTCTTCGGTCTCTTAATTAATCTTTTTGCAGCTTGGCCGATGAATGCTACTGGAACTGGGATTGCATCGGCCGAGTTTGCTTACGGAGCTGGACATATCGACCCAGTAGCCGCTCTTAATCCTGGACTCGTCTACGAACTAAACAAAGCAGACTACATATCCTTTCTTTGTGGGATGAACTACACTTCAAAAACCCTTGAGCTCATTTCCGATGAAGCAGTCACTTGCACTGGAAAGACGTTACCAAGAAACCTCAACTATCCTTCAATGTCAGCTAAACTACCGGAATCTAACAGCTCATTCACCGTGACTTTCAACAGAACCGTTACTAACCTCGGTACCCCACACTCAACATACATATCGAAGATTGTCTCAAATCATGGATCCAAGCTCAATGTCAAGGTCTCTCCTAGTGTTCTATCTATGAAGTCTGTGAACGAAAAACAGACTTTCAAGGTGACTGTTTCGGGCATCGGTCTCAACCGAAGACTGCCTTTGTCTGCAAACCTAATATGGTCTGATGGAAAACACAATGTGAGAAGTCCCATTGTTGTCTATACTGATGGTCAGTGATGAGTCCACCATAGTTGTACTAATCATTATAATAAAATCAATATTTGGAGTCGTTCTTGTGTGTTTTATATATTGTTTTAATTCTAGGTTTGTGCTTAAAACTCAACAACATTCACAGTTTCAAAGAGCTTTGTGTTTACCAATATTTTCTAACTACAAAGATCATCAAAAGGATCCATTTAGATCAACTTAGGTTAATTTTTCGAAAAATCTCCAAGAAACAAAGAAGCACGATTCATATCAGAAATGAATGAAGCAGAGAAATGTTACCGCACAAGAGTCGATTTCCGCTCTCAGATTTTGTGAAAACTCTGCAATGCATTACAATTGAAACAATAAAAAAAAAAACCAAAATCTCCAAACAAAATTGCAAAAATAGACATAAGAGACGAAGTTACCGGAGGATTCGGTCGATGAAAAATCTGTCAGATGAAGAATCGAAGACGGCGATAACGGAGTTCTTTACAGTTCGGCGTTGTAGAGACGCGGGTCCATGGTGAGATTCCAACAACGTCCGCACCGGATAATTTACTCCCGCTTCATTTTTCGGGTTAGATATGTTTCAAATGGGCCTGGGTCCAAACCAGATCTATTAACTATGAATTCATAGATTAAAATGATTAACACAAAACTATCCAAATCTTCAATATCCAAAACAATATATAAAAAATAAACAATGAGTCAAAATTTGACGATTATTATAGCTATCTATCTATACTTATAAAAAAAGACACTTTGCTTATGTGTCGCAATGATAGCGATTTTAGGAGGCAAAAAAACAGGAATATATACTTAATGAATTATAGAAAAAAAAAATATCCTCCGAAAAAATTGATATGGATCTTCTCCAAATATAAGAAAAACCCTATCAAAACTAATGTCGAATATAGCCGCCGTTCACAACTCACAAGGATTATCATGGTATCAATCGACCTTTAATTAAATGAGAATTAACAAAAAAAAAAACTATTTGGAACCCTACGTTCTAAAACCTATATAAACAACAAACCCTTGAATTGATATCCTCTCCCATCTATGGATTCTCTTTGTTCTTCGTTTTTGCATATTTAGGGTTTTATTTGTTTTACTTTCTTATAGTTATAAACAGAAAATAATGAAAGAGAGAACAAGACGGAACTAGACGAAACTGTCAGTGTACGTCACTTGTTTTTCAAGGTATGATCTTAGAATTTTTAAACTCTAATCCTAAACCGTAGTCTCTTTTACCTCTCTTAGCTCTGAGATTAAGAAGAACAATGGTTGCGTCAGTGACAGCGTGCTTTTTAAGGTTTGATCTTAAAATCTTTAAGTATAAATCTATAACCCTAAGCCTAACTGTCTTTAACTATCTTCACGAATCGTTTGATTGTTGATTTTAATTGATATGTCGTGTTTTTTTTTATCTAACAATTGTATTGTCAATCTTATTGTATTGATGCATTGATGATATAGTACAGTAGTACACCATGCTGATTCAAAACCAGCATAATATTACACAATCTAAAGAAACAAATCTAAATGAAGAAGACCATAGCCACGAAGAACAGCAACAACACAATCAAGAAGGTGATTTTTTTTTCCCTAATAAAGAGAGCGATCGATTTCTTTTTGTTTCATAGATTGATTTCCTTTTGATTTGTTCATTCAACATGGCCACATCGAGATTTTTGAGTAAAATTTATAATTCTTTTCTTTTTGTTTTTAAATAAGAA